GAGTTTGAACAAAATTGTAAATGGAAAGCGACGTGTGTCGATTTGTGTCAAGTGTGTCGACTGTGTCTCCTAAAAGGAAAGCAGCCATAGTTCAGTGCTCCGCACGTGCTCTCAGGGTACCTATCATGAAATATGTCGGAATGGATTCCGATCGGAATTATTCCATTTTCCCTAGAAAATACAATAGAAATCTAGAAAATAATTGAATATTTCCGATCGGAATCGATTCCGACTTGTTCTATGATAGTACCCTGAAGAGAGAAATTTGAGACGAACGTACACACACACACACGCATAGATATCTCGTATCTGTGTGCACGAACACTAGTCCGCACTGAAGACAGTTAAAATGTGGCAACAATATGTCCTTATTTCGCCGTTCGGCGTGCAAGAAGGAGAATTTCATCAAATTACAAATTTAAACCACTGAAATTTTAACTATATATAGATAAAATTATTTTAAACATAATACCTAAATTTCAAAAAAATTTGTAAAAACTCAATTTCTCGGAGAAATATCTTAAGGTTGATAATTTTAACAAGCTGTCATTTCCAATTTGTTATAATGTGAATCATAAATAATATGTATATATAAATATTCAAATATTTTAAATATCTTAGGCTATGTTCCAAAACTTCCTCTCCGAGGAAAATTTTACTCGAAATATATAGTACACGTAACGTATACTATAGCATATAAAGTAAAATATTTCTTGGAGTGGAAGTTTTGGAATGTAGCCTTAGTACATATCGACGTCTGAGCCGTAGAAAGTGCTACATATATTGAGAAAAACATAAAGAAAGTCTATATCAAGAAATGAATGAAAAGCGGTTTATTTATAAGGCGCATAAGATCGGTATATGTTGGAACGCGTACGAAGTACGATTTATATCGAGAAAGCGAGAAGAACGGTTCAAGTCGCATGAAATTAAAGAAGAGATTATATAACGTAATATATTTTCTTCTCATAAAAATTTTATAGTGGTATGACCGAGACGGAATTGTGTGTCTTGATTTTTAATCCTGTTTCGCGCATTCATTTATTCATATTATTTAATTTTCCATAACTAAATTTGTATAATTTATGAGGCATGAATATTGCGATATATAGACCCTTCATTAATTTCATGCGACTTGAATCGTTCTTCTTACTTTCTCGATACAACCATAATGTAAAGAGACAAGGTGTGCTTTCCAGCAAGGACACAGTCAGACACTGTATAACACAGTGAATCGTTTCATCCTTGTTTAACGTAGACAAACTTACTGTGTCCTTGCTGGAAAGTACCCAAGGTGTACTATTCCCAAGGATGGGTAGTAGAATAGTGAATTGTGGCCAAAATTTTATTGGCTATTCCAATATGCACTTATACGCAGGAAATGCATAGAGGCTAAAATTTGATTGGTTGTTTCCAGTATTGCTATCGCCATTATGTGCAATAGTATATCTTGTATTCTTATATCATGGATATAACCGTACTTCATATGCGTTCTGACATAGACCGGTCTTCACGTCTCACGCGAAATAGATTGCTTTTCATTCATTTCTTGACACAGATTTTTCTTCATATTTTTTTCGATATAGCACCTTCTATGGCTAATGCGTCAATATGAAATATATCAAATTTTTTGCTAATAAAAACATTTGATGCTTCAAATGTAGAATTAATTAAAATCTCATAGTGAATTTGATAGATCTGCACTAATTTTATATTGATGCCTTGTATTGAAAATATTATTTTTAGTTACGTTAATAGCGCTGTAACCAACATATAGTCTATTTCCTATTCCTGCATTGAATTACACTAGAACTCTCGTTACTTTCAAGTATCAAACATATACCTATCACTTCAAGTTCCAAAAGTATACACTAATTCAGCCACAGAAAACAGACTTATAGCTGTGTTCCGTAAGGAATCAGCTGACACCGTAATTTCCACTTGCAGATTTCTTTATCGACTTGTCCAGGAGACAAGTTATTTTTTACTTTTATTACAATATAGTTAATTATTTATCATTATACAAAAGTGAAAATGGAATGTTACTAAAATATGCATTCGGATTCAAATGAATTAAAGTTTCAATCCACTTTAATTCATTCTTGTTTACTGATTGTGAGATGTAATAGTACAATCTAACTAAATATGAAAATCTTTTAATACTGACAAGGGAACACAACCAAGTAAATCTCTCCGATTTAAATGAGCTTTTAATATGTTGTTCTTTAGACAAAATAGGAGACGTATTTTTTTTTATACATGCTGAGTCGTACGTTAAGGAGGTGAAATCCTCCCTTAAAAGAAATCGGTTTTTTTTT